GGACCTAAGACAGTGACAGATGCATAGTGCTACTCAACAAATATTTTTTACAATAAACAGGAAAAGGAATGCAAACGGGATGCAGTGCTCTCTTTGGCAGCGCTATGCTGATACTGGAACCAGGCTAGCCAGAATGGTGGCCAAAGCTGCAAATTCTTCAGGCCTCTCATGTCTTTTACATCTTGACTCTCCTCCTGCACAAAAAGCTTAATAACTCACTAACGTCCTCCAGTTTGCTCTCTGTCAGGACGGGAGAGTGAGAGGGCAAGCGTGAAAGCAGTCGCAATGGAGATGGCCTTTGGACTCTGGGTGTCCGGGTGTAGAGTTCCCAGGGCCTGAAACAATCCTCCTTTCCTTCTGCAAATAAGATTCCAGGTGGCTCGGGTAGTACCTTCAGAGACCATACAACGCTTCTGGATCAGTACTGGGGTGCTCTCTTCTCGCCTTAGTGGCCTGAGTATAGCAACGCAACTGACCCAACCCTTGACTCCTACCTTGTCCTATCATGTCCGTGTTGACTTTAATGGTTCCTTCTGCCGACTCAGAATGGTCCAGCACTCACCGAGGGGGCGTACTCGGTCTCACCGCAGGTAGTACAGGACAGCCCCTCCACTGACTCTCGAGAAGGTGTCAGTATGTGATAGCCCTTTCTCTTTCAAGGAATGTGAGACCAGTTCCTCGGGGACATTTGAAAGACGCCTCTCGTGGCAATAGTAGTAGAAATGAACTCTGATGCAAAGTGCAGGGAACTGCCTCGGACATATGGGTGTGTGTGTGTGTGTGTGTGTGTTGTGTGTGTGTGTGTGTGTGTGTGAGATTAAAACCAAATTTTCCTGACTCCCTTTCCACAGTTCTTTCCACTGCACCATGTTACCAAGAACCACCACCACAAATACTACCAACTAATATTTAGTGAGTCCTTACCATTTGCCAGGCATTGCTCTAGGTGCTTTCCAGATATCACCTCATACATCATTTGGGGAGAAAGAATCGATTTTAGGCAACTGAAGCATCAGAGAGTAGGTAAATCTGGGGGACAAATCTGAAGGAACTATCGGAGTTTTATTAGGAACTTGAGTCAAGATACGAAAGGTGAAGGTGAAAGCCAGACGGGGTCAACAAATTGTGTGGATGTGTGTGAGTGAAAAGAGGAACAGCAAAAAGCAGACCAAAGTTCCAAGAGCGGGGTGAAGTAGTAGCCCGTAGGGATTTTAGGATAATAAAATCAAAAGTGATCAAAGGACGTTGATATTATTATCATTTGTGAATTGAGTTCTTTCCAAGTTTCAGAAGCAAAATTAATGTGTTCTATTCGGACATAGCGAAGAGACCAGCTCTTGGGGCCAAACGAAAATAAAATACATCAGACTCTTAATGGTCTTAGTGGTATCTCTAAAGGGTTAGTTATTATCTGTTAAATATTTGAATAGAGCATTGTTCTGGAATAGCCACAGGAAGAGGCCTTTGCATAAAAGCAGAGGAACCAGTCTGAAAGCCCTGTGTGCAGTGACAGCCACAGGGCAATGCTTCAACCCCACAACACTGTGTCGACAAGGTGGTCTGCACCCAGCCTGGCTGCGGAGACAGATGGGCTCTGAGCCAAACGCACACGAGGAGATTCCCAGGACCAGCCAGAAGGAGCCTGGAAGGGGATCCCCTGTGCGCTTGTTATTGACACTTACTCGGTCACGGCACGGCGGGCAGGCAGATGACGTGTGCTGAGCAATGAGACCAGGCTTAGAAGAAACCCCGAAACCAAAGCCTAGCTGGGAGAAATCTCCACATTCTCAAAACAAAACAAAACAAAAACAAAAACAAAAACCCTATCGACAATCCCCTTTGGCTTTTGTCTTCAACCTCTCCCTCGACTGCTTCTGCTCATTATAAACTCACATTTCTCCAATCTTTGACCAAGCGACCAGTCACAACAGGACAACTGACCCTTCATGCATTCTTGAGACCTTCTCTACTGCCAGGAATGAGGTGTCTACACTTCCTGCCTGTCACTCACGTGTCAAGCCACTGCTCCCTGGTTTCGTCCCATCACTGTTTCAGTGACACAGTTCCCACCAAGGTCACCAAAGACATCTCAATCACCAGGTTCAGCGCACCCATCTCCTGCCGTAGCTCCCTTGACCTTCCTGTGGCATCTGTCTGGACAGGTCCCTCCTTTTGGAAATCCTTTATTATTTTTTTTTCTTTTTGGCTTCTCCAGCACTACTCTCTTCTTTTTCTGCCTGACCCTTAAAGGTTCATGTTGCCTGGCTCTATCCTTGGCCACTGCTTTTCTTATTTGACACAGTCCCCTGGGAACCTCCCACAGGGTTTCAACCGCCACCTGTATATTAACGTCACTCAAATCTCTACATTCTGCCTCACCTTCCTTCTCTAAGCTGTACATTCTGCTGCTCACTAAACACCTCTTTCCGGATGCCCCACGGAAATTTCGACACACAAAACCACTCATTATCTCATCCCCAAATTGCCCTTTCTTCATGGATTTCCTCAACTGAGTGCCAAAACGAATCATCCTGTTGCTTAAGCCAGAAACCAGGGAATGGTTTTTTATTTCTTCTTCCTACTCAGTTGCCACCCAGTGAGTCACCAAGCCCTGTCTCAGACCTTCTGTCTCCTGGTGAGACCCCCCCGCCTCCCACAACTGAGCCTGTGCCTCTAGACTCTTACCCTCAAATCCACCCCCACACTGGCCTCCGGAGTAATTTGTCTGGCCCGAAACCATAACCATGTCCCTCCTCTGCTTCAAGTCTCCCGTGGCTTCCAACTGACAGCCTGTCTGTTCTCATTTCTTCCCTCTCCCCCGTTGCCACGCTATGCCCACAGGGAGGCCAGACTGGAGGGGGCAAGCAGTCAACAGCTAGGGCTTTGGCAGCTAATCAGAGGGATTTCGGTTTGACATATGAGGATATAGGAACCGTTCTCAGGTTCACGAGCGGAGCATGATGAGAGATACACAGGACAGGTCATAGAAGTGGGACACGTTCACAGACTGCTAGGAATCGAATGTTGATGTCCTCCCAAAACTCAGATGGTAAATCCTAATGTCCCATGTATTTGGAAGTGAGGCCTTTGGGAGGGGATGAGGTCATGAGGGTGGAGCCCTGATAAATGAGATTAGTGCCCTTATAAAAGAGACCCCAGAGATCTGCCATGCCATGCCCTCCTCCCCCTCCTACCTGTGGAAGAACCCAGAGTAAAGACTGTCCTCGAGGAACCAGGAAGTGAGGCCTCACCGGTGGACAGACTCTCCAGCACCTTGTTCTTGGACCTCCCAGCCTCCAAAACTGTCAGAAATCAGTCCCCCCTTCTGTGGTATTTTGTTGTAGCTGCCCAAAGGGACTGACGCTGGCTAGGACAATAGAGACAAAAGGACCTGGACTGGTCTTCTACGGTGAGAAAAGAGGACAGGTGAGCCTGCAGGACCCATGGGGGAAGGCGTGATATCTAAGAAGGAAAGTCACCAGACACAAGTAGTAAGGAAACGCATGAGTAGGTCACGTCAAGCACTAGTAACAACGTCAACAAGCCTCAGGAAGTCTAGAGACTTCAAAGCCCCATTACTGGAAGCCCAGCACCAAGAACAGGAGCAGGGGTTGGTCGGCCAGGCAACACACACACACACACACACACACACACACACACTCTCTCTCTCTCTCTCTCTCTCTCTCTCTCCAAAGCAAGCGAGGGAGGCAGGTACTGATGGAAATGAATAGCTTCTATAAAAAGGAAGAGCAGGAACGCTCAGAAGAGGGGACAGACGCGAATGAGAACAGTCCTCGTGACAAACGAAGGCCACAGCAAATAGGCTACACTCAAGGGCTGCGCCAGTGACTTCTTACGGGTGGGCTTCGACATGATGAAAGAAGCAGATTCACCATTAGGCAGATTGAAGACACGTTGTCCGAAATGTTGCCAGGATTGGAAACAAGTGACCCGCCAGAGTTAAGTCCCTTTCCCCAAACTACAGGCCTGCAAGACCCACGCGCTGGAGAAGCACGACCGCGCCTGGGCTCTGGAGTCCTGTAGGTCCGCGTTCGAATCCCGCCTGTGCCGCCAGGCAAAAGAGAACCACCGCCTGTGACTCCGGCCGAAGAGCCTGCCCTCGGTGGGTCACAGTGCATTGTCAAGGGCAGACCTGGGGCGAGGACCCAACAAGGTCGCCGACTCCAGAGCGGGGCTCTTTGCAGGCAGCCTGATGCGCAGGGCAGCGGGTCCCCTCGCGCAGCCGTCCCCCAGGCCTGCAGGGCCTTTGTGCCCCACTCGCCGGAGAGCACCCGCAGCAGTGCCCGCGAGGGGCGGCCAGGCGGGGGCCGGGCGCGGGACTGGGGGGCGCAAGGAGGTGGGGGAGCGCCCCCCTAGAGCGGCGCGGGCCGGCGGGGAGGGGGGCGGCCAGGTGGTGATTGGCTGGGCTGCGGCAGGCAGCTCCGGGCCCAGAACAAAAGAGAGCGGGCGGCGGGCGTCCCCCGGAGTAGGCGCTCCCGCCCGCCCCGCGCGGGCTTCGGTGCTGGGGGAGGACGCACCCACCGCCCGCCCGCCCGCCCGCGGAGCAGCCGGGCTGGCGCGCTCGGTTTCTGGGCGAAAGCCGGCCGTGTACCTAGGAATTAACCGGCCGGCGCGGGAGGGGAGGGGAGCGGGAAGCGGGGCGGGGGGGATGCTGAGCGCGCGCGAGAACAATAATAAGATCGTGTTTGCGGTCGCTGCCCGAGGAGGAATTCGGAGGAGGCGCGAGGCCCGGCGCTCGCGCCGCGCCCGGGAGCCCGGGAGGGAGGCCGGCGGCGGCGGCGGCAGCGGCGGCGGCGGCGGCGGCATGAGGCAGGCGACGCGGCGCCTGTGAGCAGCGCGCGGCGGCGGCGGGGACCTCGGCGCGGGCGAGAGCCGAGCGGCCGGGGGCTCCCCTCCCCCGCTGCCGGGCCGTGATTTGCCGGGCCTGCTGCGCCCCCCGCCCACCCCTCGCCTCAGCCGCCGCCTCGCCGCTTCCCCTCGTCGGAGCGGCCGCTCGCCCGCCCGCTCGAGGCCCGCGGGGAGCGCGGCGCAGTCCGTCGGCCCACGGGGGGGCGGCCTCCCGGCATCTTCGCGGCGACCAAGGACGACCGGGGGAGGAAGCGGCCGGGATGGCGCGTCCGCGGCCCCGCGAGTACAAGGCGGGCGACCTGGTCTTCGCCAAGATGAAGGGCTACCCGCACTGGCCGGCCCGGGTGAGTACGGCGGCCGCGGGCGGGCCCGCCCGCCCACCATTTTCCCCTTCATGATGGCGCGCCCGCCCCCTTCCTCCATCCGCCTCGGCCCGGAGCCCGGGCGCCCCGAGCCGGCCGCGGCCAGGGCTGGAGGCGCGGGCGGCGCTGCGCACGGAGGCCGTGCCCGGGCCGGAGGCGAGGGTTCCGGGCCGCGCCCGCTTCCCGCGAGGGCGGCCATCCTTCCGCCCCCTCTGGAAGGCGGCTCCGGCCCGGGCAGGCCCGCCGCGGGGAAGCCGGGCAGCCGCGGCGCGGGGGCGGCGGGCCCGGGCGGGAGGCAGGGCTGCGGGCAGGGTCGCGGGTGGGCCGCCGGGTCCCGGGCGAACGTCGGGGCACGTAGGGGAGCGTGATGCAAATGGCCGGCGGCGGGCCGGCGGGGGCCGCGGCGGCGAATCCTGGAAAGGGCTAGTGGTCATCCAGAGGCCAGCAGGAGCCTCTTGGCAGCCGTTCATCCATCCCTCGGCGCCTCCTTCGCCTTCCAGACTTGTTGAGTTTCCCCTGAGCCCCGCCGGCCGCATCATTGTCCTGGCGTCCGCGCCTGCCCGCCGCCCGTCGCTCGGCAGACCCACCCGGAGTAGCCGGGAGCTCGCAGCCCGGCACCGGCTGGTGGGTCCGCGGAGCTCCCGGTGCCTTTTCACCTCCATGTTTGTTTTAGGTCGGATCCCAGACCTTCGCCTCGGCCTCCCGCTACAGCCCACAATAGCTCTCTCTTCCAGGTCGTGGCTGGCGCTTTCTCTCGAAAGCATCTGCGTGTAATACACGGCCTTAATTTTTTTTTTTTTTTAAATCGGTTCCTTTGGGCGAGGAGGAGATCAACACTGCCGTGTGTGCTTTGTGTCTTAAAAATAAACCCCGTTTACTTTTGATTTTTATGCTAGTTGGCAGTTAGTTGTTTGAAAGGAGAAATAACAGTGAAAAGGAGGGTCAGGGCATCTTGGAGGCTCTGTTGGTATCCTTGGGGAACAGAATAGATGTGGGAGATATTGGCATAAATAAGAGTGTGAGCTCTAAAATGTTGTATTACAGTCAAGTGAAGGTAGCTAGACGGGGCGGGGGGGGGGCACCCATTCACAAAAGGAAGTGACATCACGGGTGGCCAGGCTGAAATTAGTGAAGTTGAAGTAATGGATGGACATAATCACTTTTTTTTTTTTTTCTTGCATTTAGTTCCGCGATTGTAAAACAGAAAAAAAAAAAAAAAAAAAACAAAAACCAAAAAAAACAGTTGGCCTGGGAATTGGGGGGCCTGGTATTGGGTTTGGGCTCTGTTATGGACTAATCATTTCAGCTGTCTGAACATCCATTTCTGAAATTAGAAAATTATCATCTCTAGGATTTCTTCCAATACTAATAACCTCTGGTTTCAAGTGAGGTTCAGGTTCCATTAGGCTGTGATAATAACTTTGGAGAGTCAACAAACAAACAAACAAAACCAAACCAAACAAACCAAAACTTAAAATTTCATTAACAAGTTGCTTACTTAGGTTGGCCACCTGTAGTAATTTTGAAACAAAAAAGTGCAGTGGAAGTAGTCCTAGTTCTATATCTGATTGCACACAAAATTCCTAGAAGTTGTAATTCCAAACCAAGGCAAAATGGAAAATAAAATGAGGAAACAGAATCAGGTTGTTAGATAAAATAAGTACAGGAAGGAAAAAAATCTGTGTCTCTTCCCCATTTAACGTAAACTCCTCAAAGAAAGGACATGTGTTTTCTTTTTTATAAAATGGTATTTTATAGTGAGTGGCATGTTGTAATTTCCAAGGAAAGGTAAGGGTTAGAAAAAGATGTCAGTCCCTACTCCTGTCGTTACCGTGTTGTATGCACCATGGATGTCCTCATGTTACTTTCACTCCGGGTCACTAAAGGCATTATCCCCATTTTACCCCTCACTATAGATGATGTCTGTAGATGATGTTACAAAATGCTAACTGGAAAAAAATATCCTACTTCTTCATATTTCAAATACTGTCATTCGATATGAAGGCAGTCTTGTGGGGATTAGATTCTGTATGGCCCCAAGGGATCAGACAGACCTAGGAGGAAAAACATGGGGGAGACAGATTTTGGGAGGACTCTTCTATCAAAGAAGGTCCATGCTTGGATGGAGAAGCAACTTCCCTGCTGTAGGGAAGCTCTTGGGTCCTAGGCAGCCCCTTATGAGGAATGTGGGCCCCAAGGATTCACTCCTCTAGCAAATTTGGTCAGGTTGGATTCCGCTTTTGGCCGCCCTTCATACTCTGTGACCTTAGGCATATTCTGTAATCTTTCTAAGTTTTAATTTACTAGCCTGTGAAACAGGCATAATTCTCACCGCACAGATTCAGTTGTGTAAAAGTACCAAGCAGTGGTGTTTGGGTATTCCTACCTTTTTTCCTTTTTCGATTTCTGACTTTCCCCTTGTATCACTACACTGTTTTTAATTTTCAGCTTTTGAGTAGATAGGTTATTTTTTCCAACCTTTTGTCATGAATCATTTCAAGTGTACAGAAAAGTTAAAACAGTTGTCCGGTGAACACCTTTATATCCACCACTTAAATTCTACAATTAACATTTACTGCACTTGCTTTATCTTGTGATTCACGATCCATTGCTCCATCCGTACAGCAGTCCATCTTATTTTAATCCATTTTAAGGTAAGTTGCAGGCATCAGTATAATTTACTCCTAGGTACTTCAGCGTGCGTTATCATTAACTAGAGGTCAGTATTTTTTTCTTTCTTTCTTTCTTGTTCTTTTTTTTTTTTTTTTTGCCTTTTGAGATAAAATTTATATAAACTGAAACACACTTAAATGTACCACTCAGTGAGGTTTGATTAATGTATACGCTGGTATAATCCAAACCCCTTGTAAGATATACGGTAGCATCAGTACCCATGAAAGTTCCCTCGTGGCTCTTCCCAGTTAATTCCTGTCCTCTTCCCTGTTCAGATGCATTTTATTAGCATTCAGTAGCCAAATAACTGTTTCTAACGGAATATATTTTATATTGCATATGACTTAAAAATAGAAGTTTTATTTGTACCTATGGATTAACTAGCTTGATATTAAAAATACTTATGCTAAAATAAGAGTCTCTGAACCCTATTGATCATGTGCTCTATTGGTAAAAATCCCTAATATATATAAGTTTACTTTAAATTATATCTCCATGTAAAATGCATTATTGCTACCTACATTGTAAAATAAATACAAAAGAAAGCAGATGACAGATGATGTAATTTATGTTTTAAAATTCTTATTAGCAAAATATTGATAGTAATAGATTAAGTCTGTATTTTTAAAAATAACTTTTGGAATATTTTTTGCCTGTTTCTTGTGAGATCTGACTAGATAGTCACAGTTTTTCTGAAGAGGTTTTCTATAATAGAACTGTCAGCTGGGCCATTTCCTTCTTTGCTTGTGCTTACATTATTGGTATTATCTTTGCAGGACTCCTTTTAGCCACTTGTTCATTTGGCCAGAGTTCATTTAGAAGTGAATATTCCATAATTTTGCTCAACTAGGCACTCTGAAATGGCAGTAAATCACAGTGTGCTCAAAGTGAATAAATACAACCATCTGAATAAGGACACCAGTGTCCATTTATATGTTAAATATCTGTAAAATTTACTTTGTAGGTAAAAGAATAAGAAACTAAAATAGAAATTGTACTATTTTCTTCTCACACCCTTCCCTCAAATTATCTTGTATATCCTCTGAGGCGTGAGCACTCTCTGTATGTTACCCCTGCTCTGAAAGATGGAAGTAAAAAGCAAAGCAAAACAAAAAAGTCCCCCAAACTCTTGTATTTCAACCAAGAACTCTTTTTTAAATTTAAAAACCTTATATGAGATCTCTCCAGCATTGCTAATAGAAGAGGAAATAAATACAATCACTTGGGAAAACTGGCCCAATCTACCATAGTTAAACACACACCTATCTTGTAATTGAGCAGTCTGTTCTAGGCATATACCCGAGAGAAGTGAGTGTTTATGGCCACCAAAAGGCTTGTGCGACAAGGCTCACCCATGACAGCTTTATTCATCATAGCAGAAGATTGAAAACAACCCAGATGTCCATCAGCAGGAGAATGGCTAAACCAAACTGTAGTGCATTCATGCAGTGGTGTACTGCTTAGCAGTAAAAAGGAACAGACTACCGAGGCCCACAAACATAGGGCTGTATTTCAAAATTTGGGATTGAGTGAAAAGAAGCCAACATGAATAGGTTCTGTGTGATAACATGACCATCGAAAACAGGCAAAAGTGGGGATCAGTTCGTAGTGGTTGGAGGGGATGTTACAGACTGGGAGGAAGCTCCGAAAATGTTTGTTACCGTGATCTGGATGTGGATCCACTCAACCTTATCAGACTGCACAGTTAAGATTTGCACCCCATCCTGTGTGTAAGTTTTACCTCAACTTCATACTTTGAAGTAGGAGAAAAGAATCTAACACTTCAGACTTCATGGATTGAATTTGACCATTCTTAGCTTTCAGGTGAGAATTTTATTTTTTCTTTAAGGCTTCAGTGCTACCAATTTGCATCTTCCTGTTCCCTTTTGACTGAGAAACTTCGTTTACTACTTTACAGCTTTCTGTTTACATTTCTTTTTAGTTCTGGTTTCTGCCTGTCCTTTGGTTTAACTATATTAGTTTTTCTAATCCTTTCATGCTAAATCATTGCTGGTATTTTTAATCTAGCTCTCGACTTCTTATCAGGTAAGAAGTCGAGAGCTAGATAAAACATTTGGGGGCGCCTGGGTGTCTCAGTCAGTTGGGTGTTTGCCTTCAACTCAGGTCACGATCCCAGGGTCCTGGGATTGAGTCCCATATCGGGCTCCCTGCGTGGTGGGGAGCCGCCTTCTCCCTCTCCCTCTGCCCCTTCCCAGTGCTCCTGCTCTTACTCTTAATCTCTCAAATAAATGAATAAAATCTTTAAAAAAAAAAAAGGCACTTGATTGCTGTTCTAGGACAGCTTGAAG